TATGTATTATGTCGACTTGTCAGTATAATCTATCTCGCCATGACAACATACAATTTTTACTTTGTCGACTTGTCAAGATAATCTATCCCGCCATGACAACATACAATTTTTATTATGTTGACTTGTCAAGATAACCTATCTTGCCATGACAACATACAACTTATATTATGACGACTTGTCAAGATAATCTATCTCGCCATGTCGACATGATATGTATATTATGTCGACTTGACAACATAAATTATCTTGACAAGTCGTCAAGTCGAATGGCACTTAGGTGCTTCCGTAGATAATAAACAGAATTATAATAACTTGGATTTTGCATGATATTGGTGTATTGCCCTTTAATTTTCTTCATCGATTTTATTGCTGTAATTGTTTTGTGTTTGCTGTTGCTTTTGGTGTTTGGGTTAGGGATTTTATTGTTAAAGCCCCATTCCCAGCAATTTTTTTTTTTTAAATCTGACTTTTACATTATGTTAGAAATCCGGCATTAATCTTGCATTATTTGGCATTCTTACTAGAAAGAAATCCGGCATTAATCTTGCATTATTTGGCATTCTTACTAGAAAGAAATCCGGCATTAATCTTGCATTATTTGGCATTCTTACTAGTACGTGTTGTAATTGATAAATGCCATTCTGAATGGGTTCCTCCTCTCTCTGGTGTTCCTCAGGGATCCATCCTGGGGCCCCTCATTTTTCTGTCTTACATTGATTCTGTCACTAATACTCCTCTTTCTACATCCAAACTGATTCTATTTGCTGATGACATGGAGCTCTACTTGTCACTCAAACATGACACTAAAGAAATCTTTCAGAATGACATCAACAAAGTTAGCTGCTGGATCTCTGAAAACAATTTAAAACTGAATACGAAGAAAATGAAGTTCATGTTAATATTTCGTAAGCCTAATCATCCAAAATTCTCCATTTAAAATTAACGAAGCTGATGAGGGGGTGGGGTTTTGATGTCATTTTGTTGTTTTTCTCATGAATTTTAGGCTTAATTTTTTTGTAAAATAATTCTATAATGTCTAAAACCTTCTCATAATTCAATTAATTTTGCAAAAGTTTGATAATAAAACCCGAAATGGAAAAATAAAACATGTGTGCAGCAGACAATTTTTTTAAATAGTGAGTATTAAAATCCCTATGGTGGAGGTCCCAAGTTGGTGAATTGAAATTTCTGGGTAATTTGTTGTTTACTGAAATGCAATTTCTGGGCACCTTTTTTGGTTTATTAAACTACACGTATGGCATGTGACATGCTGTTATCAAATCCACTGTGAATAAACAGAAACACTAATAGTATGCTTTTTGTACGTGGCAAACAATAGCAAACCTGAAAATAACTCATTTTCAGGTTTTATTGAACTTAGGTGGTGACACAAAGGCATGGAGTTGTATAAATTGTAAGTAGCTTAATATTTGAAGAAAAAATGTTGTTTAATTTTTTAAAATATACACTTAGGAGCCATATGTAATATTCACAATTAAAATTCTATATTTTTTGGGAAAAACTGTAAAATTTCTGGGAAGCAGGGATCCTCCATAAAAATCGGGGAAACCAATACATTTCTGGGACCTTGGGAGGTCTGGTATGGACAATTTAAAATTATGAATTATAGTAGTTCCTCAGGTAAAAGCAGTGATATTGATACTGATACTGAAAATGATATATAGACAACAACAACAACAACAACATATAATAACAATAAGAATAACAATAAGAATAACAATAATACTAAATAATAATATATAGTTTTTCCTCACTGAAATAATAGAGTAAGGATGTTTCAATTAAACATAAATTTAATTACCAGTTTGGGCGAGACTTT